TCCTCTAATCGACTTCGCAACAAAACAGATTGTCATCGAATAGAGTTAGGGCATGGATTCAGTTGCGGTACTTCATGAAGAAAAGCTCAAGATGTTTATAGACTACAGTGAAAGCAGTTCTTCGTCATCTTGTTTATGAAGTATATCATATTGCCAGTAATGATTGTCTATACATATTTAGAGCAAGACATAAACCATTTTAGAGAAAGATTTATAAAAACAATTTTTATTAAAAAAAAAAACAGTATATGGAACACGGTAGCAACTGCTTAAAAATATGCCTTGTGCGTCCCCTATTGGAATGTACGAATCCAAACACGATTTATATGGGGCATACATTAGGGTATTAACATTTTCCTTGACTAGATCTTTCGACAATAATTGCCAACATTTTACAGGTTTTTCAATGACATAACTACATAAAGATTACAAAACTTCAGATCGACGGAGTTTGATCAAGAGACTTAAACTGGTTTTGTGTAGCCTTTATTCCCTACACAAATATCTACAGTCGTCATACTCACATGAGAAATAAGGAAATATCAATAATTTTGCTTTGGGCTGTTTTCTTATCCCGTTGATGGTTCTCCCAGGGTTAGTGCCTTCTTGAAACAGGGAATAACTTGAATTAAATGTATTTACAATGCAGGGTCAGCTGCGCGAAAATTCGCTAAAATTTATCTCCAAATTTTAGGTGAGCCCTTTGGGTGAGTCAGTGAAAGTGCCCTTAAACGATTATGAGGTATGTTGTTTGTTTATGGGCGGGGGTCAAGTATGTAACCTATTGATACTACATCACTGGAAGAAAATTGACATTGTGAATGGACGTTTCGAAAGAAAACGGTCTAGACATGCCTGATGGAAGAATTTCTAAGAATGCAACACTAGTTACCAAATGTATAGACCTATACGTAAAATAATCTGCTTCACTTTCTTGAATTTCATGCATTTTCCCCCCTTTCCGGCATTTTGGACCTCAATTTTCAATACGTATTAGCCATGTAGCGACAAAAACAGGGTCACATTTTCTAGTTATTTAGCTTTTTAGCTTTCTTATTCCTGAATAAAAACAAAAACGACAAAACAGATAAAAAGAATATATCACAAGGTTTCTTATCTTCTTTTTCCTTTCTTTTTGAAAAAAATATGACTTTGGCATCTACAATAATATTAAGCTATAGATTGATTTTTACCGAGGTTTGTTTGTTCTCGATATTTATAGATGTGTCTATTTCATAGGTGTTTATACAAAGAGAGGGAGTGGGATAGAGAGGTGTGAAAAGGGCAACGGCTATTCCGGGAAAAGCACTCGGTTCAAGGAGATACTATCCTCATCGGAGAAGCCTTCTTTGGTAATACCATACATGAAAAGAGTTGTAAAGGGTACATGAGCATTTGTCTACATCAATAACCCACTTCTTGTGATGGCCAAGATTAAACTGATTGAATCTTTGCGCAGCATAAAACGTATGACCATTCGGTACAATTGTCTGAAAATCAAGACTATTACTTTTGGGCTCTATAGCCCTAAAGTCGATTTGACAACTAATAGTCGTTTTTTCCCCACTTGAAGACATTTTCAAGCCCCACCTTTTTTAGGGAAGTTCTAAATTAATATTATCTTTCAAATGCAGTTGGAATTTAACTTTTTTCATTTTCTTGGCCTGCAAATGGGACATAGTACCTTTAACGCAAAATTTACTGGCCATTTCTTTTCAAATTGTTTGTGAAATTTAAACATAATAACATATTATATGCTATCATAACTAACATTTTACACAGTGTAGGCCTACATTTATTTATATATTGATAAATATTTATATTCAATATAAATTAGACATATGATTCTTATATTTATATTCAAAATATATAAATATTCAACTCCGCATTCTCCGCATATTACTTAATTATATGCTATATTTGTTATAGATTTGTACATAGAATCTTCCATGTTTACTCAAATGACACAGGTTAGAGACAGCGTGTATGACCGTAAGGCCATTGGTGCCTATTCGACATAAGGAAACTCTGAGAAACGCCTTAGGATAGAGGCCACGTTCAGCTTAGATTTCAACTCCGCATTCTCATCTCTCTCTCTCTCTCTCATACACACACTCTCTGCATACAGCATCAGTTATTTGTTTGTTTATTTTCAGAGGTTGTTTGTGCGTACGAAGAGGAAGAGTAGATCCTTTTAGTTTAGCGAATACGCGATACATATTAGAGAAGCCAATTAATAAACAAGAGCAATGTACATTAAATGTATATATGATTTATACATGTATATTTATCTGTACCCTATCCCACGCCCAACTGGTTTTCATTTTGTAAACGCATAATAATCGTCAGTAAGCGTACACAAAAGTAGTACCAGTTGTAATAAATTTGCTCTTTGCCGTTTCTGGCAGAAAATATTATTGTAGACATACGACATTTCTAGAGACGACTTGAGCTTTGGTCGAAGAGGTAAAATATGACTGTATAGTTTTCAAATACGACCATGTTTTATGGAAAGAGGAGTAGAAGTTAAATGTCCTTTCGGAAGTTATTCAAAGTCGAGTCTGCTTCGAGGGTTCTCGTAATCTTCTATTACGAAAACCCATCTCCACTATGAACATAATAACGTGAACAACCAAACAACGCGTTCTAAAAAATACTTGTCGACCTGTTTGTTAATATTCTACAAATCCTCTTAAAGGTTACTTGACAACACCCAATACAAAAATAGTGTTGGCGTTCATTTCTAAGGATTCCAAGGACTCAGAAATGATGTCCGAATACATATATGCATATACATGAGAGTAGTTTGGAGGGAGTGCCCTTTAATCGCGCAGGGTAAACTCCATAATAAGATAGTTAATTTTACAGTTGGGTAAGGTTTGACCAGAGATGTCTCGGGTTTGACAACACTCAATGCTCAAATGGTATTCGATAGTTTCCTAGGGACCGAGCAACGATTTCCGAAAACATATACATACACGTAAGAGTTTTGGAGGAGTCCCTAAAACCGTTCCTAAATTCCTAAATATAAGGGAGACAATTTGGCGTTGGGTAAGGTTTGACCCGATATGTGCCTGGTATCACAACACGCAATGCACAAAAGTGGTGTCGGTTTGCTAAAATGGACCTTAGTCACATCGATAAGACCGACACCAGACCGACACCGTACCGACACCATACCGACAGCAGACCGACACCCGACCGACACCATACCGACAACAGACCGACAACAGACTGAACGAAAATATTGCATCACGTCTATGGCCAAGAATCAGTAAGGACCGAGCAATAATTTCCGAATACATATAAACGTATGAGTTTGGAGGGGTCCCCTTTAATCGTACAGGGTGAATTCCATAATAAGGAAGACAATTTTACCGTTGGGTAGGGTTTCCCCAAGGGGTGGGGTAATCCATACCGGTGATTATGATAATGGCTGGCTGTGTTTGTATAACGGCCAAGACACGTCCAATGTCTTACGTTGGGCATTATCCTGGCACAGTTCCTTGGCAGGAGGGGTGTCGGAGAAGGAGAGGAGGGCACATCATGACACAATTACCAGGCCAGACAGAGACGATGGGGTGAATTAGGGAGTAGATGGGGTAACAGAGGGGTAAACGAGGGGTGCGTGAGCAGGGAGCTGGTATAATGGGGGTGGTGATGAAAGATTCTTTTGTTTGCTGTCAATAGTTATGAAGTGTTTTCAAAAGGGTTCATGCTTTGTACACTTTGCACAACATTTTAGTGAAGACATCAAGATCTTCATCTTCATTTCATATATTCACTCATTTGCATTTACTTATTTGGAACAAATAATCAATTAACCTTATTTCTATAGATGTTATAGGAAGCACCTACTCACTAAAACTTTTATTACCAAGTATTTATCGCATTCTACTTTTCAGTAACTTTTGTCAATTATAATTGACTCGATGACGGATAATGAAAAGATAGTTTCTATTTCCGCGATCTCATTTCTCGTATGATTTAGTTTATAAGTCCACGGATGAAGATAAGCAGACGTTCACGAATGACGTTGATGGTATTTTCAAAGTATACAAAAATAATTGACTGCTTTCCATGAAGTTGGATGTCTGCCATAATTCATTGAATCTATATGGGTTTCGAGAACAGCAATCGAGCTCCTTTACCAAAAGGTCCTTTCTTGTGTAGAATATTTTTGCAATTCCTTTTCCTTTTTACATCATCATTAACATACTCTTTGATTCGTATCACTACTCCCTTATCCGTCTCTCTCTATCTCTATCTCTCTCTCTCTCTCTCTCCCTCTCTCTTTCCAATTCTTTCTCCTAATCTTTCAATTATCTGATTTATTTATTTATTTCTGTGTCGCGTATGGCATTTTTATGGCAATAAAATGTTTATTCCGTTTTTCTAATTTCCTCTTTTAAAGTCACACAATTAATTATTGCCAGCGAAAAAAAATTCGAAGACGTTTTCCGAACCCCTATTCTAAAACGTTTAGTTATTTCCTGAGATTTAGCACTTTACTGCATGCACGTCACGAAACTTTACGTCAAAACATACCAATAATATAGACCAAAATGTGCACATAATCATATGACAGTACAGAAATGTGATTGACATTGGAGAAGTTTGTAAAATCAAAGAAAGGTGAAATTCCTTTTTTTTAAATTTTCATCTGCACATCTTTAAGAACATTTAAGCCACATACATTTAAGTATTCGATTACTATCTTATCTATTTATGAAGTTGTTAAATAGTCACTTTTTACTAACTGATACATATTTTCACTAAAGATTAGAAACATAACAAATTCTCCTTTTCACATCTTATCCATATGCATTTCCGTTTAGACACCAGTATTCTATCGATCTATATGTATACATGTTAATCTTCGTTGAAATTTTAGGTTGAAATGGTAACAAATATTTGACTTATTTAATCGTTTATAACTATGTAATAATATCAGTAATAATAGACTTGAGGAATGACAGGCGTACAAAGTTTCGACTTACCGGTGCTGACAACGGGTTCTTGTGCACGGCTTACTAGAAGGAGGGAAGCTAATAAATAAAGGGAAAGTAATAAATAAATAGAGCTCATCGTGAGGCCGCGGGATCGGTTTACAGTGTCAACAAGAAAGATGACTGTTGATGTTGTGATGGCGAGGAAAGAGGGGACGAAGGTCGCAAACCTCTTCTTTGGGACTTCAGCGTAGGAGATGGTGTTCTGAGATGTCAGCGCTGGTCAGTACGTCCCTTTGTTTAATAATTAATCGCACTTGGCAGATGGTTGAATCGAAGTTTTGATTTCGGCTGTACTCTTCCTCGAGCTTGTGAAGTTTTCTTTCAAGCAGGATGGAAGAAACTGTTGCTGGTCTGCGGGAAGATAGTCGAGATGATTCTGGAAATTATGAGGATTTGGCGAGCTAGTCGCCTGCAGCAGCCGGTTTCGATGAGATAGCGATGAGAAGTGAAGTGTTGGGAAACCACGTTGCTATTTATCCCCCTACCACTTTTTTCCCGTGCTCTAGATTAATAAAGAGCTTTTAAAAGATGATGCGAACTGTGGCACTCTGCTCTGCCTAAACTTCAGGGCCTCTCTCTGACAGAGTCCCGTTCGTCCGGAGCCTCCACATACACCATGCCTGACTGGAGCGCTATAGGATGACACGAGGGGTGAATAACCACCATTCAAGCACGACAATCTTTCCTCATCTTACTCTCGTTTTACGGGAGAAAACAAAGTGGAGAAATGGGGACTCGTATCTCCATCAGACAACCTTTTCCTCCGTCATTCCCTTTCTCTTCCTCCTTCGACCCGTCTTGTCCCCTCTGTCTCCGCTCACGACGTATAAGAGAGAGAGAGAGAAAGATTGAGAGCACCGCTTTGAACTTAAGACATCCAAGTGATATACTTGGCCCTATGTGTAAATGGACGCCAGACGCGTGCATCTAATTTTGGCTTGCCCCTGGACGCGGGAAGGTCGTTGAATCGAGAATAAGAGTCCGGGAGAAGACGGCGGCAACTTTTTTTCTTCTTCTTCCTCCTTCAGGTTAATAATCAGGACAGTGCAAGAAGACACTTTGCATCTACTCCCCTTCGTTCTATTCTCCAAGAAGAAGTAGGAGAGAGAGAGAGAGAGAGAGAGTGGGAGATAGGGATAGGAAGGGAGAACAAAATTGAGAGATGATGTCCCCGCAATGTCGTAGTCCTGTTTTGGTCGCCTTCGTAAGAGCTAGTTTTCCAATTCGTTAGAGTCCTTTTGTAAACCCAAATAATTCCAGAATGTCTGATCACAGGCGTATGTAAACGAAGTGGTCCTCAAACATGCTTTTAAACGTCTCCTTGATTGTTTTGGCTGACGTCTGGAGGGGTATTCAAAGACCAGACATGAAGAGGAGGTTGATAGTGGGATACCATCACGATTTTTTAAACGTGAGATGAGATGAAACAGGAGAACCTGTCTGCGATGATACCAACACCACCTCATCAACACTACCTCTCCGCTACCGTATCAGTTAACCCCATCAACAACACGAAACAGGAGTCGAAGACTTCGCGTGGAGATCACAACACTTTATGACACTTCACTCATTAGACAAGTTGTTTGGCATGTTAAACATATTCAATCAACAAACACCGTTCAATTATTATCACCTCAGCATGCTGAAACGAGGAAAATATTGTCCGGCTTCCTTCTTCCCTCTTTATTATTGGAAAGTAACAAACTGCTTTCAATGGAACAGATCGAAACGATTTAAGGGTTGAATGCACTGTTAATACTATTAGCGCTATTGGATCCTACTGGTCTCAAATGTAAATGGAAAGGGGTACAATACCCTCCCCCCCCCCCCTCCATTGTATCAGCTGTTTCCCTTTGACTGGCTAGACTAGTCAGAGAATGATTTGCATACAGGTAACAGAACAATCATGATGATGTATTCAACAATAAAGTTATTTGATTCGCTAAATGAATCCTATCAAAGATATTCCATAGATAATAATCGTTTCGAAATACAAAAATTGAGGGTTGTAACTGTAAGAAGCTAATCCTTCGCAAATTTAGACATAGACCTAATAAATACAAGAATTTCGATTTCAAATAAACAATTATTACCGACGAAAATTCTTTAATTCGATTTCATCCGTATTGTTACAGTATTTCTATACCCATAATTCGATTATTAAATGATGTATATAGCCTCCCCTATAATTATGGGACATTAATAGTTATTACGTGAAGGACATTTTGTTGGCCTTTCCAAATAAAGAAGGCAAAAGACATGTGTGTCTCCGCCCAGTCTAATGTTAATGGAAGAGAGGAAAACGGTATGTTAACAATGAAAAAACTTAAAGAAACCTTTGTAGGAACCCCGTCCGAGAAACGGCCGAGCTCTAGTAATCGATTCGGCCTAACTCAATTCAAGCACGAAATGACAGCTTGTTCAAAACAAGATTACCCTTCAAAGGCTACGGGTTAATCTCCTTTGTCTTCTTTAAAGCGCAATTACCTTTCTTGGGGAAAGTAAGTCCATCCCCTGGGAACTTATATGGTAATTTGGCTAGCTCTTTAACGATCATTTGGCTAAACGTTGGTGTAATCCCTCTCATCATGTCAAGAATGGAAGAAAATATAACGCTCTCGAGTAGGTGGAAACGACTCCTGTAATGGTATCGTTGAAGATCAATTATCATAGAATAGAAGAATCTCAATTGTAAAAGCGGTATCATCATGAATCCGAAGTCGAATAGCTTTATTATAGTCAGCTAAGCCAGTCTAGGCATCAAATAAACTATTTTGAAAAGCGGAGAGATCGATTTATTTCGTTAGGTAGGAAAGAAAAGGGGTTAATAAAAAAAAATATGAGTATGGACATACGTAAAAATGTTTCCAACCAACATCCATCTTTGTAAATAAAGAAAGGAAAAACTTTAATCGCCGTCCCTATTTTTTCAACACAGTCGAAAATTAACGTCGCCATTACTTAGGTGGGATTGTTATAAAAGTTTTATCTAGTAGTACGTCCAAAAAAGATTTTTTTTGTTTCTTGTTTTATTATTAGATTTGGCGCAGGAAGAATGAGATTGTTATTTTACACATCTTATGGACTTATCTTTGAGTGTTAAATAGAAACTAAACAGGGATGTCGGCTCCAAGGCAACCTCGCCAAAAGAATATACAACAAATGGATATATAATATGTAGAGCAAATAACTCAAGTATTCAAACCCTTGTACATTTGATGTTTAGGTGTTTATCGTAACTGAAGAATAAATGGTGGACTGATTGAATTCGGGCCTTTGTTGAATACTTTTAAGTTTTTATATTTCACATTCTCGAGAAACATAATCGGGACAGATTAAATTTTTCACAAACTTAAAAAGTTACAAAACTTGGGAAGGGTATATGAGTAATGTAATCGTTAACTGTATACATGTATTTGTATATATATTCATCTATATGTCTACATATACATTGAATGTAACCATTCAGCTATTGCAGGAAACAAGAACATTTCCTCTCTTTTTTAAAGTATATTTGGATTGATAGCAGATATTTAATATATGATTGATAACATGAAATGACCATTACAATCCTGACTCTTTGTGAAGTAAATTGGAATTTCGAAAACTTTATGAAAAAGTTCTCAAATATGTTGTGAGAAGTCTTTTGTTGTCAAAGTATTTCAATAAAGTAGGTTAGCGTTTTAATAGAATTTACAGAGAGATTCCCTTTTGCATAATTACTAGGTTAATAATTCGTGTTGCGTTTCCTGTTTACATACCAGAAAGCAGCTTTAGGAAAAATTTCTCAAATATGTTGTGAGAAGTTTTCTGTTGTCATAGTATTTCAATAAAGTAGGTAAGCAATTAATGGAATTTACATAGGGAATCCATTTTGCATAATTACTAGGTTAATAATTCGTATTGACGTTTCCTGTTTACAAAGCAGAACGCAGCTTTATTTATATATGAATGTGCGCGCATGTCTGTGAGTGTGTGTGTGTGTGTATGTTATTCTATTTTTTTCTGTATGGAATTGTTTAAAGCCCCTCTAAAGTGTTGGGAGCCCCAAAATGCGCCAAAAGTTCGAGAGCAAAATTTCACTTAAATGTTATCATAATGTGAAAGAGGATTTCATGTAAGACACACTTCTGCAAAGATTTCCCTGTAAGATTGTTGTACGCTGAAAACCTAAATTTTGTATTCTTTCATCAATATTCGGAAGAGGATCAACTTTATTATTTGTTATCAAAACTAATAAACATGAAATCTGTAACAGAAAGTATGCATTTGTACAATCGATAGTTGCCAAAAAATCAATACAATTATAATGATGATGATAATATCAACTACGATAAAAATTGATAATAATGATAATAACATATTCATTTTGTTTCTTTATTGAAATACATTTATTCAGGATAACAAGAATCAGATGTACATTGCAGATACAAAATCTGTTTGACATCATGGCCCTGCACAGGATAAAAATGTAGTACACGTAAATATAAATAATGAAAGAAAAAAAAATGAACTATAAACAACAAATATACTTGTTCAAGTTTCGTGGTCTCGTGATCACTGTGGATCACATGATTCGCGGTTCGAGTCCCACCGCGGGACTAATGTCCTTTGGTAAGACATTAATCTACATTTGCCACACTCCACCAAAGTTATGCTACGGTCACAAAGGTTCGTACGAACGATAATTTCGTACGAATCTCCCTGTTTTTCCATTGTCTTCCCGAATTTCCATTTTCTGAAAATCGTTCGTACGGCGTTCGTAGCAGTTCGTAATGGCATTTGTGACCGAGGCTCTAGGTAAAACGGTACTTGGCATGAAATCTTAGAGATCCATAATGGAAGCCATGCTAAAGCCGGGGTCATAATTGTGGAGCACCAGCCGTGTCAAGTCTGACAGACATGAGCGCTATACAAGAACCCACTTCTATTATTATCATTATTTGAAAACATATCATAATCAAAGTGTTCCACATTCTAGAGAAAAGGCAACCGGAAGACAACGGCGTCACTGTCTACATGGCCTACGTAAAGGTCTTTAATCATACAATGCATACATATGTATCCCATGATAATCAGACAAGATGATGAAATAGATAATCTCCTTAGTATAGGTTACATGCCCTCAAACTTTGATACTGTACTCAGACTAATTCCTTCGAGGCTTAATCAGATATATGTCCCTTAAGGTGACGTCTCTAGTCGTGGGGTATTTTTGTGCCTGTAATCTGGGATAAATAGGGGCATGCTATGGCTTTTATCATAATTTCCACAAGCGTTTTCAGTCTCTGTAAATAAACAAACCCGTTTTGAATTAAGTAAAATACAATATTTGGTTAGACTTTCGTTTACCACAAATATTAGAACTAAAAGGCCGTAACAAAACAAATGTAGTTTGTTTTGTCAAGTAAATCATATGTGTAAAAATAGGACACTTAAAAGCTCTGTTTTCAAAAATTCTAACTTTTCTGGTTCGGGGCAGCAGAAATTTCGGCAAACACACATACACACACATTCATATATATATATATATATATATATATAACAGCATTAACAGGACATCTACATGTATATATAACCGTAAATGTTACATTAACAGGACATCATAAATACTGGTATATTACCCTAATGCTAACCCTAATGCTAACCCTAACCCTAACCCTAACCCTAAATTAAAAACATTATAGCTAATCAAGCAATTTCCTAATGATTAGACCTATTGTTTTTTTGTAGGGGTTTAAGTTTCTTCTGCCTGCAGAGATACATTGAGGGTAATAATTTTATTTTTATAAATGTAATGCTTCCTCGGAGAAATTTCAATTATTTCAACATATTTGTGGCTTACACCCATTAAATAATCGATCTTATTTACTGGGTGTGGGCCACAAATATGTTTAAATAATTATATTGTTCACTCGGTAACAAGACACGTAAATGTCCTGCTAATGATCATGTCTACTTAATGACTCATTTTTTTACTACATTGTGTCCGTCTAATGACGCTGTAAGATGTTGAGATATACATATATGTAAACATTTTATGAATTGAAATAGAAACCGCTCATAGTGAAGAGGTGAACTATCAAGGATTTTTGTTTCAATTATTTTATTCATTATACTGTGATGGAGGATTATCCTAATTGAAATACTTGTTCTTTTATATATATTATATATTTATATATATATCAGCGGCTTCGTTGTCTCATTTCGTTCTACATGTAAGGCGATTTGCCCCAGACAGACTATAATTCGTTAAGCCATTGATTTCAAAATGGAATATTTGCCCTTTCGCGAATCCTCTATCTAAATGAAGGATGGTAAGCCGAAAATAACACGTGGGTGTAATGTGGCGTATAATTTACAGACAGTCCGGTATATTTTTAATCTCACGGTTCATATCGGCTACGAGGGTAGTGCATCGGACATGTTTATAAGGGTACCACTCAGAATAAGTAATGACCCGGGAGGTCCAGTTCAAGTGTACACGGAAAACGCGAACGCAACTTGAACTTAAAGCTTAAAGGCCGTGTATTGCAGTTTGATTAATTATACTGTACTAAATCCAAATTATTTTTTTTTTGCATTACATAGTTTACTTACGGTAGGAATATTGTATGGTTTTAAAGTGTATTGAATCAAAATATCGATATTCATGATCAGAAAGGCTGTCAAACTGCCTTTTCCGTGTTCACAAAGTATTTCAATTATGAAGTGCCAATATAAA